AAAAAACAAAGACAAATTCCTCTTAATTAATTATATTATCTTAGGTTCCTCTTCTTTTTATCTAACCAATATTAATGACATTTTCGGTGCCTAATTAATTAGAGTGTATCAGATGAATTTCTCTGCCACCAAAAACTGACACATGTCAGTCAGTCTCGTAATTGACAAGCCATTATATTAATTAAAATAACATACGCAGCGTTGTCACTGTCAGAAACCAAATTGCCGCGGGGCAAAAGTACATATCTGGTTCAAAAATAAATCATACTGTTCTAGCCGGGTGTCACATGGAACTTTGGATTTATTTCTACACAAAACAATACAAAACAAATCCTATGCACCTTCTGCTGCCTGCTGCCCTTCGTTGGCATTTTGCGGCGTGTTTTGATTTTTGCGGTCAAAATAATTGTCGCTTAGGTAATAAAATTTGATTTATTCACTGTAACACTCGCACTGTCTGATTTTAATGGCAGGCGCGAACTCTGACCGCTGTGGTAAAAACAAATGGCAAAGTAATTTAAATCCAAAATGGCCAACAAATGCTCCCCAGTGGGCCATAATAGGTGGTGGCAAAAGGCGTCAAATAAAATAAACAACCAGGCTTAAGTGTCAGATGTGGCGAGTGTGGACTTTCAGAAGCTCTTAATTGGTTCAGAAAATCAAAGTTACCTCCGTTTCGAACTTACTTTAATTTTTGAACACTTTATTAATACTTTTAAATTATTTTCCAAATTAATTACTAGTATCTACCAATGCAGCATTAATAATTAATGATACAAATTATGGTGGCCAGCCATGTAATGTCCCAAACATCGTCAATATAAATAACTTTTCCGTCTGATAAATAAACTAAAAGCAGCAAGAAGCGAAAAAAGAATTCAATTAAAAAATACTTTCTGGCATTATTTAATGCGGCAACATTTGTTAGCCACCGAAGCCGGGAAAAATCACTGCAACATCACCCCACAGTCCCACCCCCTTGAGAGAAAAAATCGCATTAAAAGCCTGCGAAAAGAAAACAAAAGCAGAAATCCCTCCGCTTTTCCGCAATTCTTTCTTTATTTCATTTTTTTTCTTTTATTTTTCTGTTGTTGTGTTTTGTTACCCAAAGCGCATTTTTCACTTAGCTGGCAGTTTTGCTGGCTCGTCTCTCCGGCGGGCTTTGTTTGCCTCTGTTTTCCACGCTGGCCAATCACGCATTCGGCCACGGCCCAGTCCGGCCAAAACCGGCGGATAAGGCTCAAACACAAAAACTGGAGAGTGGAAAGTGGAAAGCGGAGGAAAACACAGGGCAGTACCAAGAGTAACGGCAAAATCGAATGCAATTTATTTTCTAGTTACTGTTAAGCTGATTGCAACGGCGATGCAGGCGATACCGATGTTCGCTGTGTCTCTCTAACGCTTCGAGCTAGCAGCGAACACTTAAAAAAATAAGGGGTACGTTTTAGTGCTTGTAAACTCGATGAGTTAAAAAATAAATATATTTTCTAAATTTCGAAAAATGGAAGTTTGTTCGGTTTCATTCTAAACTGTTTCCTTTTTAAATATTAAAAAAAACTCCTATATCTTATTTAATATAAAGGAATCTCATTATATTTCCAAATATTTCTTCTACTATATGCAATGGGAAATATTATTATTTTATTGTGTATACTCCAGCTCTGCTAAATCCTTTGAGCTGTAAAAGGGGCCTCAACCCCTACAATTCCTTTCCTTTTTTTGGACCATCATCATGCAGCAGTGAACGCACAGAAAAACAAACCTTTGGTAGCCGCGAGTTTTGGCTGTTAAAGGCCAAAAGCGTCACTTAAAAGCGAATCAACAGCGCACAGTTGTGCCTTTTGGCATTGGAGTTGCTCATGTTCGCTCATGAACTTGTTAGCATTTTGCAAGGATACTTCAAACAAGAGCTGGTTCCTTTTTAAACCATAAAAATGAAATTTAAAATGGAATTAAACAATAAATTATAAATAAATATATCTATTAGTTCAAATAAAATATTTATGAATAAAAAGCACTCCTATTCATAATTTTATTATATTCTTTTGTTCGGAAAAATACCAAAATGTACATATACATACTGATGCTGCCTTTTTAAAGTACTCCTATTATTTTTTAAATATATATTTTTAAAAAAGCTCTATTTTCACCTTCAGTTAACCCACCCTTTCCTGAAACCAGTTCCATTTGACAAACATCTCCGACTGTCCTGCATTTCGCAGGATTGGTGATGGCAAAATGTACAAAGCTGAAAGCAAAAATTCCAATTTAAGCGGCGTGTCAAAATTGCAAATCAAAGTTTCGGGTTCTCGGGTTCGTAACTTTGCCCAGAGTTTGTATGAAAATTGCTTGATTGAATGCCCGATTGAGTGACTGACAACTGCCTGACAGCAATAGAGGCCCACACACATACACAAGGAGAGCGTCCTTCCTGGCCAGAAAGGACAATTGCCAAATCGTCGCAATTGTCCCCGCAGACACCCACACACTCTCTTAGCGAGAAGGGTAAAGCAAAATGGTCGGTTAATTTGAGGCAATCACAAGGCAAATTGAACCCACAGCCATCAGAAAAACTGTTGCCGAGTCGTCACTTACATGTCACAATCTCAGTGCGTTCTGGGGCAGTATTATAGTTTCAGAAAGGATCAACCAATGATGCGTATTGGCCAGACTCTGAATTTGGTTTTGAGTTCTCTCTCTTTTCCAATCGCCCAAAGCATACAAATGGGTCTCTGAATGTTCACAGTTTATGTAAATATATTTGGGGATTGATTGGCAAGACAAACGGAGTAACTGGCAAGGAAAATACACACACACAACAGGAGCTCAGGAGCTGAGTATGGACATGATATGGACCCCGAAGCTTTTCCATCTGAGCATTGTAAATTCTAAACTAATATACATTCATGGATGATTCATGAATGACGTTAACAATGATTAATCTCATTTGACTTTTACATCGATAAGTTTCCTCAATTGCCTTTTAGGCACTAAGCAAACATCTGCTCAGATCATTATTAATGTCCAGCGTTTTTTGGGGAGACCGAAATTCCCCCGATATCCTGTGATGCCATAGCATAGGGCTTCCTGGAAACCGCCACAAAAGGAAGCTCCATTAGCACGTGCTGTTCATGCCAATGGTTAAGTCCACTCCTGACAAGAGTCAAACGGTTTCCAGGGGGAACACAACGTGCATGTAATTGTGTCGCCTGGGACAGGCGGCCTAATCCGTAGCCCGTGGCCACTTTTGCTGCTGCCACTTAAAAATCCACTTAATCCTCCCGTCTTATAGAAATAACAAAAACAACAAGAAAAGGAAGGAAAAAGAGAAAAGCAGGAAAGGAAAAATCTCGGAGAAGCGAGGAGGGAAAAGCGCTCGTTCGCTCTGACGTATTCAAACTGCAAGTCGATTGTTATTTTTACGCCAGCGGCGGAAATAGACATCCTGCCTCGCGTCCTTCGTGAAAAAAAAAGAAAACTTTAACACAACTTTCGTGGAAAGCGCGGACGGGAAAATAGGGAAATGGCCAAGGCAAAGGCGGGGAAGTCAATGTCGAGCGAATTGAAGGAGTAAATTTTGTGCGGCAGTTGTTGGCCAAAGTTTTTCCTCTGACTGGGCATGTTAGGACCTTGTCAAGGGGCTTGCCCGTGGAATCAGGTCCGCCATTATTGAAAGTGCCCGTTGAGTAATTTAAAAGTTTGCCCCAAGTCCCAACTTGTAGTCACCCATTCAACGAAAGCGAGGTATTGAGGTCAAATTGATTCTTTATAATAACAAGAAATCGGTCTTAAATCATGGGGCTTTAGCAGAGCTGACAAACGATAGTTATTGAATCTCACTACATGCAATATTGGTTCTAAAATATTTTAAATAAATAATTTATGTATTATAAATAATATTATTATATATTGAAATATTTAATATATTATCAAAAACTCCCATCTCTAGTCTTTTGAGTAAGTTTGTGAACAAGTCACTCTTGTTGTTGCTTTCTGCCGGCCGATGCATGCAACCGATTGCCTCTGGAGTACATAAAATTCCTCAATAATTCCGACTTGAGCTGCAAAACAGCCAAAGTTTCCTTCAGGCTTTGTAGTTCATAAAAGACCGAAATAGAACCTCCGACAAAATTTGATTGCCCCAAAATAAGATTAGTGTTTTGGGGGCCAGCGAAATCCGCTTTTATTACCAAACGCATTAAATATTCCTGCGTCATTGGTCAGGACGTTTGGCGCATGGGAAAAGGAATTTGTGGTGCGTGGAAATGGAAATGGAAATGGAAAAAGGCAATCTGAGGAGGAGTTGAGAAAAGGACCTATGTAGACTGGGATTTGTTTTACAATTCAGTCACGCGCCATGCTCGTTTCTTTTTTTTTAGATTTCGTGCCCACCTTTTTAATTAATTTCTCCTTTCGCCGCTTTGGCGAGATGAGAAGGCCATTTATGCGCTCCAAAGGATGCTCGTTAGGAGCTCTTTTTGCCGCGCTAATGGTGATGTCCATGCAAATCAAAATGGCGACACGCCGACTTCCGTTTCCGGCGCACGCTTTGTGCTCTCTGCTGTTCTCTGCCTCTGTCTCTCTCTCTCTTTCTTTCTCTCGTTGCTTCATACGCCCCCCAAGTTAATCCTTCGTCCTGCACATTTGTCGCATGCGTTAATTTATGTTTGCCTAGTTTCAGTTTTCAACTTTTGTACTTAATTAGCATACTGAGAAGTTCTCGGCAGTGGCAGTGTTATTGTTCTTGTTTTCCTCCCCCCAGCAACACCCGAAACTACTTCAGCAGGAGTGTATTTAGTTAGTTTGTTGACTTTTCGAGTGTCTGGCAGTTGCACACTTACAGGCGCAAACTTTGATCAAACATTGAAGACTTTGGCATTTAAAGTGTACTTTAAGACGCCATGAAACCCACGGAGATTACCTGTTGAGAACTCGTTAAATACTTTCATTTTATAATTAATATTTACTCAAATTAAGAGAAAAATAATAGGCTACTCTTCAATATTTTTTTATAGCTAGACTTTTAGCTTTTGTCAACCACAAAGGACATTTGAGATTCTTAACAGTTGCAGTTGCCTCTGGTTTTGACGAGGCATTCAAAACTTCAAGCCCATGGAAAGTTTTCCTGGGGGCAGCCACTGAGCGAGCACCCATTCACATATTCAATTAGAGTTACAACTTCAGAAAGTTCAACGGCAATTTGTGTGCTATATTTTGGGTGCTTTTCGGCAAAAGATTTCATTAATATTAAAAGAGAGGGAATTCTTTCTATGGCCACAGAAACTACTATAAATGAAACGCTTGTCAGTGCTTCAAGCGCACATAACATACAGAGAGGAGAGAACTTGGCCAAAGGGCAAACTTTTGCAAGTCGGTGGGTAGCCAGCTGTGCAATTTGCTGGCAGAACTTAACAATTTGTGTCTGAAAAGCATAAGGACGATTGGTCGGAAGTCGTTTCCCCCGCTGGCATAAAGGGAGTTGGCCACCTCACCGGGCTTTTTGCGGTTTCTTAATCTGATATTTCCCCCTCTTCCATCGAACTCTCACTATCCTGCAAGTTGGTGAGAGCAGCCAAGGTTTCTTCGGATCGGAGTCTCTTGGGTTTTTTAATCCAACCACTGGAGCAGAGCGCCTTTCGGAACTGCTTCACATCCACCATCGGCTTGGGCATACTCTTTGGTTGAGGCACTTTTACGGAGTAAGAATAGTCTTCGGTCTTCCAAATAGGAGTTTCCCCCGGCTGGGGCGGATCCACCCATTCGTAATTCCCTTGGGCCGAGGGCATCCAGAAGACAATTAACTGATCGCTGCTTACAAACATGGTTAGCTGGGGATTAAAACGCAGGCATCGAACCGCCCCCACATTGTTGCCCTTGAGCACGGCCACCGGGTTGCCACTGTCCGCTCGCCAGATGTGAATCCTACCCGCATCTGCGCCGGAGAGCACGAACTGCGAGTCTGGCGAGTAAGTGGCCTCCAGTAACTCCCTCTTATCGTTGGCGTAACCCGTATAGGACTGCAGGTACTTTCCATCGAAGGCATTGACACTGAAGCACCAGGATTGATCGGTACTTAGGAGCAGGCTCTTCCCATCCGGAGCGAATTGCAATTGTGTCCACTTGGCATCGCCACTGAACTGGTAGTCAAACTTCTGGCACGGCTCTACGCCCAGCATCCGCACATCATAGATCTCGATTCGCTCCGTCCCCGTACTCGTGGCGAACACCAATCCGGCGGGATCAAAGGCACACAGCGGTCTTTGAAGATCCTTAAGATGATGGGTATACGTGGTGGAACGGAAGTCCCACACATAGACCTGATCATCACGTCCGGCGCTAATGAAGACATCCTGGCTTCCTGGCTGAGAGAGCAGCAAATGAGCGAACCTAGAATGGCCACTAAAGAGGCGGACACAATGGCGGGTCTCCAGATCCAGGCATCGGATGGCGCAGTCATACTAGATGGTAAAAGGGGATAAGAAAAATTAATATAATAATTATACTTATTAATAAAATAACTAATAAAAAAAACCTTAAATAGTTATAAATCTCAAGCACGAAACCTGTTCTTGGCTTACTTCCTTCAAAATATGTATAGAATTTCCAGGACTTTGTTACAGAAAAAAGTTATTTTAAAAGAAGTTAAATTCCGGGAAATTCTTCAAGTCAAATTCCTCGTTTTTTGTATCCCTTTGAGAACTCTTACCTTTGAGGCAGAGTGCAGGACACGAGTGTCCTGCTGGGCGAAGCAGGCTACCTTCGGCCAGTAGTGCTGAAGGTTCACCTGACAGAGAGCCGCTTGGCGGCCACAGTCGTAAATGGTAATCTTGGAAGGATTACAGGTGAGCAAACGTCTTCCGTCGCGGGAAAAGTCCAGGGAGACGGTTAGCTCGTCAACCTCCTGGAAAACCTTTGCAACGCGAAACTGGCGCATGGCATTATCAGTTAGTTTGATAGACATCTTTATCGCTTGTGAAAATGTTCACCAAGTTAAATGTGACAATAAAAGCATTCCTTACTACCAATACTTACTAGCTTCAAATTAAGATCTTGAGAATTCAATTTCAATCTCTTAACCTTCTTGCAGTCATATCCTTGCCTCCCTGAATCAGAGTTTGCTTCACATCAACTTAATTAAATCAAGGAGTAAACCGGCTGGCACGCCCATGGCCACAGCTGGAGGATGCAGTCTAATTTCCATTTCACGACCAAGTCACTGATAGTCCCTGGTTCCTCCTCATTGCGTCTCATTAGGGCCTGACTGGCTGTCTGGCTGACTGGTGGGAATCGAAGGATAAAACAGTCTGCTGAGTTGGCAACGCAGCCAGCTCCGCGAGGGCCATCTCATTCCACTTGTTGACCGAATGCCAGCCACTCGTTATTTAGGCCGATTTGCGTCATTAGTGCAGCGGAAAACCCGAGAAAAGCCCACCATCCACGTTCATTTCGAATTGCAAACAAATGTTGCTTTGGCCGGAAAACCTAAAAGATGAGTCTGGGCAGCATCTGTGCAAGCAGTTTTGGCAGCAATATTCAAAGGGAAATTCTACGAAGAGAATGTTAATTTTCAAGAGGGGAAAAATTAAGTTGACTTGACTATTTAAGAATATGATTTTATAGCTATGTTAAGATTAAGTAAAGTTAGTAGAAGGAACTAATATTTAAATGCCTACTATGATGCGCTTACCTCTTTGGAGATGAATTCACCATCAAAATGCAGATTTGTGCAGCGTCCTCGGACTTAGCACCTGGCCCGGAGATTGTGGTCCATCCATTGGTGACCCTGGAAACGCCGGTGCGGATGCGACTTGGCAGCCAGATGGCCCCGAAGGCGAATGTAATTGTAATGTAAGCGGAAATAAGCGCCGCGAGGACACGCAGTGCTCGGTGCTTGATGATGATGCGCGTTGCCCTCCCCCATCTGGCGGAGCATTTTAATTAAAATTTATAAGCCTCGGTCGGGGATTTGGCACTGAGCCACAGGATGTGGATGGCTGGCAGGACCCTAGGCGGCAGCAGGAGCGCCATTCGAAGGCGTGGCGTTTTAAGCTTTTAAGTTGCGGCGGATTTGCGAGGCTACGAATCGGATTTTATGTGAAAATCAACTGCGGTGCGCATAAATTAAAAATCAGGCCGAGACCGCGGCTACAAATAAGGAAAAAAGTTACGGATGGGTTGGGATCGGAAGGCTCATTTGTAATTAATTTGCCATATTAGCTGGCTGGCTCTCATAGCCACAGGTATTTGCATTGATCCCAGGTGAAAAACAAAAAAAAAACAATAAAGGAATACATAAAAATTACCTTGCAATTTGAGCATTTGCGGCTTTGCTTGTCGAATTAAATTAATTTTATTTAAACAGAAAACAATTTCGAATTATTATTATTATTATTAGCCATTTCAATGGCTTTTGCCATAATTGGTTTCGATCAAATGTTATTAATAATATCATTTCTGTTTATTGATGCTGCAAAAAAATATGGCCAACAATAAATAAATGACAGCGAACCTATGCATAGCCATGGAGGCTTTAAATGCATTTACAAACAAAAAACAATTACTATTTTAACATTTGAAAAAAGAAACAAAAAATTGCTCTGATTTCAATTTGATTAGCAAAAAAACACAAAGGTTTCATGTACAGATTTTATAGTATTATATTAACAGCTAATTATTTACAAACAAACTAGGCTTTCAATATTTTAAAAAGTATTTTTCTACTGGTAGCTATAATATTATTGAGTAAACAGTATATATTGAGAGTTTAAATTTGATAATATAATCATAATAACATTTTAATCCTAATGTATTCGAGCATTAACCAAACTTGAAACATATTTTAAAGTTTAGCTTATATTATATTTGTATTTCAAGTCTGTTTGTTTCATTTTAAACAACATTTTAACATTTTCATTAGCCTAATTCGAGTTTTATTTCCCCTCGATTCCCTAATTAAAACCGAACAAACACAAACGTGTTATTAACTAAACCATTTGCATTGAATTCGACCAGCTCACCGGACAATCGTCACCCATTACGGTTGCCAGGGATTAGTGTCCGGGGTGTCCTTATCAGTGGCCAGCACACACACACACAATCGGGCCAGGAGCAATGGGATGGAGCTGCAAACTCTGGTGGCTATTAATTGCCGCCTTTCGATTATCCTCGGATGCTCTCAGCTCTCTGTGTGCGACAAATATCCATTTGGCTGCCGGCCAGATATCCCTGGTCATCCAGCCAGGATTTCTGTCTGTGTTTGCAAAGCACTGTTTATTGATATTTTATGCGCCGGTCGGTGCTGCAATTGCTCTAATTGCAATTTTAGGCACGTTCCCGGGCCATTTGCATAACACGAATTCGCCATTTAATTGTTCAAAGCCTGGGTGGCAAAAAATAGATTCAAATTTTCGGCACATGTCATCGAACGTGAGCTGCTGGCAGAGAGATGGCACAACAAAAAAATTCGAATTATAAATCTTTTGTGGATTGCATCATGTAGGGCTAAAATTGAGGGCCACGCCAATGGATTTTTGCTGTTATGCCAAAGTGCAATTTGCTGTCATGTTTTGTATGAATTCCTTAAAAGAGCATAAATTTCACATGCCCATGGAATGTTGGCAGAGTCGGCGGGGTCAAAGTGACAAGTTTATTAAGGATCCAAGAGCGTCGTCTCACTCGACTTGGTCCAGGATTAAGTGTCAAAATGGCAGTACCATAGCTAAAAATTTGTGCAAATTTTTCAATCACATTGGGTGTGGGTGTCAGTAAATCCTGGGAACTGTGCGTTTGTCAAGCAGACAGCTCCTCTGGAGCAGGATCACGGACAACAACAATTGCAGTTCACAAGCCAGGAGGCGAAGTGAGTCGAAACCAAAGCCAAAGTTCAAACACAATTTCTCAAATATGCACAGGCATGTGCCGAAATGTATGTGTATTTGATGGTGTTTTTAGAAGTGCACTGGAAATAATGTTATATTACTTAAATATATTAAAATTGCGATTATGAAAGCTACATTTAAGCTTACACATTTTAAATTGCTTAAATTAAAATATTGTAAAATAAGAAAGGAAACTCTTCGTTCATTTTGAAACTTAACATAACTAACTTAACTATATTTATATATGAAATTATTTCGACAAATCAAAATTTAAAAACTTATAAATTATATAGCCAAAAAGCATAAATTTTAATTCAGAAAGCGGTGGTATGTTAATTTTTAGCAGGCCAATAAAACTGCATACTCCATTTAAAAAGTGAATTTTTGGCAGATTTTTGAAAATTTTGAACAATGTAACCCTCTCCTTTTTTTCAAAAATGGGAAATTTTGAAAAAAAATTTTTGTCCAGATATAGCTGGGAAGTTTCGCCTGTTGATGCTGATCAAGAATAGATATGATTTATAGGGTCGACAATGACTCCTTCACTACATTACCTATGACTATAATTTTAATTCCCTATATGGTATCAAAACGATCTAAAAACATCATTAGGTTTACCAAGAAAACTCTTTTTAGATTTGTTTCAATTAAGTGATTAAATAATTTATGAATTAATCAAATGAATCAAGTAACACATAAGTATAATGAATACTTTTTTAAATGTATTCTCTTTTATTTTCTTAAAAACCCTGTAAAAACCACCCAATTTCTCCCACTGTAATCCCATTCCTTGCTGTACTTTGCATGCATTTGTGCCCGTCCGAGTGCGTTCCTCATGCGTGGCTCAGCAGCTGCCTTGCACCTCTGGAATTGAATGGTCCACGGCTACGCCCTTGCAAGCCGTAAAAGAAGATAAATGGCAGAAGTGAGCCATATCAGGCACAGTCAGCAGCCAGCAGGCCAGCAGCAGCAGCAGAAGCTCTAACTGCTTTGCATTTGGCCTGCAGGCCGCCGGGTAATACATAGAGCAACCGGCACAATTTGCCATCTTGAGGCTGCAGACGTCAGCCATCGTCAAAGGGAAGCCTCTCTCAGTGGCAGCCTCAGTCCGACCTCTCCGATTCCCTGGTCAGCTCTGCATTTGATTAAAAGCGGATAGCCGCCTCTGATGAATTGCACATGTGACAGTGGCTCTTTTCCGCACATGCAAAGTCAAGGCAGACGCTGCGTATACGTAATACGTATGCGTGCTTTCCCATTTTCACGACACACACACACACACACACTCCACACCATCTCACCTTCGTCTTTCACAATCTCAATGGGCATGAAGAGATGGGAGATGAAAAAAATTTAATTTAATATTCATATGACTGTAAAATGCTACAAAAGTCGCAAAAAATGAAATGGACAGAAAATGCTCGTTAAAAAAAGGTACAAAAAAATAACAGGAGCATATAACTGCGAATGTATGAAATAAAATGGAAAGTAAAGTTGGGACACGCTTGTCTCAGAGCGAAAAGAAAATACGCTTGTGGTTTTATTTTTTATATATATAAGGGAAAGTAAGTGCAGCAAATAAATAGTCAATTTAAGAATTTTGTAAGTTTTGTGTAACTTTTTATTAGGCTAATTTTTGTTATACCAATTTTTTAACTTCTCTTAACAAAACAGTATTAAAATGACTTCAAAAGTTCTTCTTTATATATAAAGAAAATTTATATTGTATTACTATAATCGCAAAGGAAATCTCTCTCCAGGACATAGTTTTTCCCGTTTTATAGAGTAAAACACTACACCGTTGGGCAGTTAAAATACTTGCCGTAAGATCTGTCCTCCAGAAATATGACACTGAGCTCCGTGGATGGTGGCCTTTTTGGGTGAGGCAACCGGCAACCGGATTCCGCCACCAGAACGTCATACAAAGTAAACACCGAACTGGGCTCTGACAGTGGGCATGAAAATTTATTACCTTCACCCTGGAATTCCGTACACCCGGGATCCCAGACTCCGGCAGTACTGCCAGGCGTTGGAGTTCCGAATCCGTGGCGCATTAAATTTCGGTGGCACGGCGATGTCTGCCATGCAACTTGGC